AAACGCACAACAGTCTGAGTGTTAGACAAAACACACAGCCATTTCAACATTATAAATGCAGAACAGTCTGAGAGATACATGCCAACACACAACAGTCTGAGCGTTACACCCAAACACACAACAGTCTGAGCGTTACACCCAAACACACAACAGTCTGAGCGTTACACCCAAACACACAACAGTCTGAGCGATACACCCAAACACACAACAGTCTGAGCGATACACCCAAACACACAACAGTCTGAGCATTACACCCAAACACACAACAGTCTGGGATATACACCCAAACACACAACAGTCTGAGCGTTACACCCAAACACACAACAGTCTGAGCGATACACCCAAACACACAACAGTCTGAGCGTTACACCCAAACACACAACAGTCTGAGCGATACACCCAAACACACAACAGTCTGAGCGTTACACCCAAACACACAACAGTCTGAGCGTTACACCCAAACACACAACAGTCTGGGATATACACCCAAACACACAACAGTCTGAGCGATACACCCAAACACACAACAGTCTGAGCGTTACACCCAAACACACAACAGTCTGAGCGATACACCCAAACACACAACAGTCTGAGCGATACACCCAAACACACAACAGTCTGGGATATACACCCAAACACACAACAGTCTGGGATATACACCCAAACACACAACAGTCTGAGCGATACACCCAAACACACAACAGTCTGAGCGATACACCCAAACACACAACAGTCTGAGCGTTACACCCAAACACACAACAGTCTGAGCGTTACACCCAAACACACAACAGTCTGAGCGTTACACCCAAACACACAACAGTCTGCGCGTTACACCCAAACACACAACAGTCTGAGCGATACACCCAAACACACAACAGTCTGGGATATACACCCAAACACACAACAGTCTGAGCGATACACCCAAACACACAACAGTCTGAGCGTTACACCCAAACACACAACAGTCTGAGCGTTACACCCAAACACACAACAGTCTGGGATATACACCCAAACACACAACAGTCTGAGCGATACACCCAAACACACAACAGTCTGAGCGTTACACCCAAACACACAACAGTCTGAGCGATACACCCAAACACACAACAGTCTGAGCGATACACCCAAACACACAACAGTCTGGGATATACACCCAAACACACAACAGTCTGGGATATACACCCAAACACACAACAGTCTGAGCGATACACCCAAACACACAACAGTCTGAGCGATACACCCAAACACACAACAGTCTGAGCGTTACACCCAAACACACAACAGTCTGAGCGTTACACCCAAACACACAACAGTCTGAGCGTTACACCCAAACACACAACAGTCTGCGCGTTACACCCAAACACACAACAGTCTGAGCGATACACCCAAACACACAACAGTCTGGGATATACACCCAAACACACAACAGTCTGAGCGATACACCCAAACACACAACAGTCTGAGCGATACACCCAAACACACAACAGTCTGAGCGATACACCCAAACACACAACAGTCTGAGCGATACACCCAAACACACAACAGTCTGGGATATACACCCAAACACACAACAGTCTGAGCGTTACACCCAAACACACAACAGTCTGAGCGTTACACCCAAACACACAACAGTCTGAGCGTTACACCCAAACACACAACAGTCTGAGCGTTACACCCAAACACACAACAGTCTGAGCGTTACACCCAAACACACAACAGTCTGAGCGATACACCCAAACACACAACAGTCTGAGCGATACACCCAAACACACAACAGTCTGGGATATACACCCAAACACACAACAGTCTGAGCGATACACCCAAACACACAACAGTCTGAGCGATACACCCAAACACACAACAGTCTGAGCGTTACACCCAAACACACAACAGTCTGAGCGATACACCCAAACACACAACAGTCTGAGCGTTACACCCAAACACACAACAGTCTGAGCGATACACCCAAACACACAACAGTCTGAGCGTTACACCCAAACACACAACAGTCT